TGCAAGTTTCAGTTCGAAAAGAATATGCCCTGTACACCATTCTGGTGGCCATCAAATTGCATTTTTGACTCCTGAAGTTATTTAAACAGAACTTGCACACATGAAACAAGTAAGTATTTATCTACTCTGGTATATGCATAAACAGAAAAGGCTGTGGGACCACAGCAGGGTCCCCAATTACAAGTCAGCCACAACTTTTCTATGTGATTATTGGCTACAGTGAATCTGGAAAAAAAATATTGCTATTGGATTTTAATGTCTTCAGATGCTTTTAAACATCCCTGAGACTAGAAAGGCACTATAGAATTTTGCAAATAAGCAACCTTTTTCCCCTAGTCTCACAGCATGTTTTTAGTAGAGAAAAACATGTGTGGGAAACAAGCAAATGCACTTTTCAAAATTCATTTGTGTCAGGAATGAAGCTGTCTCCAACTCTAATTTCAATTTGAAAAGGATTTCATCACTTGATATTTCTCTTTCTCGATAGAGCTAACACGAGTTTCTCATATAGTTTTTAACGACAGTGGAAAAATCTTGTGAAACCATGTTATGAGTTACAATATTAATATACACCCTGTCTGGCTACACTTTTACCCAAGAAGCACTCATACACGCTTAGACATTCAAATTCTCTTGGTGAACTTAATATTAAGGCCTCTCTTTAAAAATCAAAATGGGTACATTTTTATTTCTATAAATTAATATAGTTTATTTTGAGACTATTTAGTATAACTGAAAAATTCAATAATGCAAAGTGTACTCAGTATTGATCAAGAGTCAGATGTTTAGATGCAGATGACAAAGCTTTTCTTCTGGTGTTATTCAATTATCTAAGCTCCATTAATGCGTGCATATTTTAGTCATAATTTAGGTGAAACAACATAGTAGTTTAACAAAGTAATCAGTGATGAGTTAATTAGATAATACTTGAAGACATGATTATGAGGCCTTAGGTGAAGCAATTAATAAATCTAACCATCATAATAGCTTGACGTCTATGTGTGCACTGCTAAGACTGATGTAATTCACACTCCTGAAAGAAGTTCCTGGGTTCAAATTTTGTCTCTTTTGAAGCTAAAGGCAAATGAGGAATTGCTTTTATTAACTGTAGCACGTATAGGAACCAGAAAACAATAAGCCAGTGTATTTCCTACCAAGATATTTTCAGAGCATTTCTGGTCACATCATATCCGATTTCTTATTTTCACTTCACAAAATGGAAACTAAAATTTAAATCATGGTTTTCTGCTATTGCATATTTTCCTGTAGTTTAAAAGTCTATTACATATTTTACTATAATTTAACAAAAATTATACATCAACAGAGAGCTCATGTAAACTTGTCTGTTGTCCAAAATTGGGATCACTATTTGTAGCAAATTTTGACTGTTCATTTTAAATGCAAAAGCTTATGGACAACATCGATCATTGAAGTCTTTAAATATGCTTAAAATTAAAATGGCTTTCTTTTCTGTAATAACCTTTTGTAAACCTGTTTTATTTAGCAGGACACACTGTGACATACACTGTTATTTGCCCAACCAGAAAACTTCCCCCATATCTACTGCACTGATACTAGGCTGATTTTGCTCAAGTATAAGGAGGGGATGTGCTCAGAGGGAAAGTGAACCCTTTTAACCCCAGGGCATGAATTATGCTTAGAATAATTCATTCATGGTTAATTCATGACCTGGTGTTAAATTATTGCTTCAGTGTGGGCATGTGAGTTAGTCCTGAACAATGAAAGAACATTTGATGGGAAATATTCGGGGACATTTCCCCCTTCTTAAATGAAATTTACATAACGGTCTAGGAGAATTGCACTTGCTGCCTTTGGTCACAGTGTGAGGACAGAATGCCTGGAGTTGCTGTAATTATGATGATGAAAGCCTAGAGAACTGGAGAGAAGCCTTTTCTGAAACTCTACATGTTTGAACGGCTGTATTAATCAATCCTGGAAGTACTTGCCTCTGATTTTTCAGTTATATTTAAGCCACATTTAATCGGATATTTAATTTCTTAGAGAAGAAGATTTCTAGTGGACGCATAGATACTTCAAGTAAAATGATATCCTGCAAGAAAGTTTATGATGTTAAGTGTTTAAAGATTATTGTTTGAAAACATGTTCAATTTACATGGTATTTATGAGTGAGGAGGATTCATATAGATCTAATGTTTGTTATTTTTGCGTTATTGAATCTATTTCCCTTTTTCCATGTACTATCATCTCAATATTCCTTTCAAGCCATTCTGTCCCTCCTCTCAGACCATGAGGATCCTGTGGGGCGGAGCCTGTCCTCCCATACAGAGACTGAACGGTCTATGATCCAGGCCTGATCCCATGGATTGGTTCAGTGATATCCAAGTGAACCAACCCACAATGTCAAACTCTAGTTTGGAACTTTCACTTCTGGAGTTCCTTGTGTGGCAGTATTTAAACCTAGAGCTGCTGCTGCAGGAGAGCCTGCATTGAGAAACGCGTAACTGCAAAACAGAATGAGAAAATTCCATGAGACGTTACTTGACTCACTGGATCCAGCCCTGCCTAAAAAAGAAAAATCCCAGATGCTTCACTTATATGAGTTAACAAATTCATTCTGAGTTGAATTTCTGTCATATACAACCAAAAAGTCCTGCTTAACACATTCAGTAACCTACTTATCTATAGGATTCGCTGTGTGAGGCATATGGAATACTTGGGATTGTTTCAGTGGAATTAATATACTGGGATCATTATAATGATAGTTAATTATTAAAAGTACTTCCATGGGATTTATATATTTAATTATTAAAATAACCTTATAATAGGCTAATTTCTCTGTGCATATTTTTATTCATTTCTATCATGGGTTTTTCATGGATAGACTGATATCTGTCAATAGCACAGAGTCATTCTTTGAAAAAGGTATAATTCATCTTGCCTGAATTCACTGCCCACTAATCCTACTTATATTCACTTACACATTTTCTGGATTCTTGTAATTTTTTTAGACTTTTTCAGAGTATTCTTTATGTCTGAACAAAACTTCTATTATATTTTTTTAACATCATTGTCTGTTAGTACCATATAACAGCTACTTTATTTGGCTCTTTTAATGCACTTAATTCTTTTTAGTTGTCTTTAAATTGCCAATGAAGTCTTTGACTTCCTCATGTCCATTATACTTTGGTGTTTTAGAAGTTTAATTTTATTATTTCTATTATTGTTTCCTGATTTTTCATAATTTAAAATTTCTTTTTAATTTCAATTTTTGCTTCTTCAAACATGTTAAATTTACTTAATTCGTGTTTTAATTAATTTTACTTCCAAAATCTATTATTTTGAAGGTTTAATTCTGTTGTGTGTGGTTTCTGCTAATGCTTTGTCACAGTGGCTGTCCCCTTGTGTGTTTCTGTGCTTTTTATCTCTGAGTTCGCCATCACTGAGGCATTACCTGGGGGCTATGCTGAGATGTGGGGTTAAGGGGATTGCTTTAAGCATGATTTGAATATGAGTATTCTAAACACGTGAGACTAATCTGGGACCATGCTAACTATATTCTTAGTTTAGGCTTATAAATCAATGGTTAGTGTAAATCCTGGATCCGTATCTGAGTGAAGGATGGTTTGTAGTTAGAAATTCTCAGGAAGGCTTTTTTCTGCCTCCTCAAAGCCAAGTCAGGTAGAGACAAGTTTCCTTTTTATGGTTCTTTTTTTTTTTTATCCCCACCCCACCCCCTTCGCTGAGAGTAAGTATTTCTTTTGTTTTCAGTTGTTTTATTTGAAGTTCTTTTACTGACTATTCACCAGTGCAGGCTTTTATCTTTGTCTCTGGAACCTTAAGGTCTTGACCAGCAGAGACCATTCGAGGTCCCAGGACAGCTGTTGGGAAAAGCACTTCATTGCGTTTACACACTCTCAACATTTTCAGCCTCTAAGGAGTGCCTCCGTTTTCTGCCAGCTCAACTATGCAATGTATTTAAAGAAGTTTTTTGTTTTTTGGTTTTTTTTAAATTACATTTTATCCAGCAATTCTAGGTGTTCGGTATGTCTTAATAAAAAATAGGTGTATTTAACCTATCATTTTGCTCAAAATGGAAGCCTCCCTTCCCCTGTTTCTTTAAAGCATAACCATTATTCATATAGAGCTACTATGTGAGCCCTCATTCAGTGAGGTTATTTCATGAGGTACATATTTTCTTGGAAACAAAGTCAAAGACACTGATTTTTCTTTCTTCTGTCATCCTCTTTTCAATTTCACCTACTTTCAACTTAGTTACCTTCCTACAATTTATGTACCGCTTTGAACTACTGTAAATCCTTTCAGAAGAATATAATATAAATAAATCAATGAAATGAAACACATATTTAAAATGCCTCTGTTTTTATCTTTTTACAGTGTACAGTGCATTTGTACCTACATTAGGTTATTTTTGTTTTCTCCAAAAAGTAGGCAGGGAAGGTATTTTCATGTGGCCCAAGAATGACTCTCCAGGTAGTAATGCCTGAATCAGACTCCAGATTCTAAACCCTGATCTGGTGCCCTTATGTTTGTGTAAGACAAACTGAATATTTTGACTATTTAGAAAGGACCAAATAAATGAAGTAAAACCTACCTCACAATCTCCCTAAAGTCAAGGTATCAGGGTAGTCTCTTATTGAAGATAAATATGTTGAAATTGATATAAAGTCTGCTTTTCCCAAAACATGTAATTCTAACTTCTGGAATACTTTTTCTTGTAATTATTGAATAATTCATTTGTGACAAGTCATTTTCTATTTATCATGTAGATCCATGGTGTACCATATGATGGATATTTTATACAGAAACACTTTGGATATAATTAATCAACTTACATTTAACAGTCTAGAAGAATTAATTTACCTGCTGGAATGTGAGATATTGTCAAAATTAAAAGACAATGACAGAAAAGAACAGAGCACAGCTATAATAGAAGGAGGTTACTTTCATTTTCAAAGTGACAGTTCTCTCACACTCTGTTTAAAATGGACACCACTTACAGCTTTATCTGCAAAGGTCTCTTCATAAAATGACAGCATCAGAGCAAACTGCACAACTGTATATATTCTTAATAGTTGAGATGCTGCTGATGAGAAGGGAACTTCTTTCCCTGTGACCTAGGAAGACAAGAAAGAAGCCTTCTTGTTATGTTGCTCCCTTACCTCTCTCACTGAAACTCATGCTAAGCAAAGAGGAGACACGTAAAAACAAATAAACAGCTTTGCTAGTCTTTTTTTTTTTAATCTTCAAAATGAATCTAAGATTTATTATTTTGGATAGAAAAAATAAAGTTAGGAGACCTGCTTTTCATTTCAGAGGCATTAGGATTCTGATCTAGTCTGTTTTAAATACAGCAATGTAAGAACTGATACTGATGATAAACATAACCAAAATGAACATGGAATATGAAACATGAAAATATGTCCATAATTATACATGAAAGCACAGCAAAAGAGAAGATGCAAGGTGATTTGGGGTAGTGTAGATAATCATGGCACAAAGGGAAATACTGTCTTATTGAAAACAACTTTCCCATGATAGTCTTCCCAGAAAGACTCTAATGCTATTTTTATAGTGCAGATTTAGGCATCAATATGACTTTAAAATTTTCACTTTGAATTATCAATTAAAAAAAGAAAAATAATAAATGGACCACAGCTGACTAGACTTTTTGGACCTGAAGTATGCAGATTATTTTTATCTATATCAAGTTATATCCTTGTTACACAACTAACTGTGAACATAATCAAAAAGTCTGGGAAACTTCAACACACTGCTTTCATAACTGGATGAAAAAATATCCTTATTTAGATCAGGATTTTTGAAAAGTAATAATATTCAAATAAAACATGATTTTATTTCCTTAAAATACTGGCAAATTTTATATTCATAATAATCTTTGAAATCAATAGTGATTTACTCTGTTGTTTCTATATTACTATTAGTGACAATTATTTTGATGAGAAATCATAATATATATCCTGAATGATTGGAAAGAAATTCCTTTTTCATCTTTATAAGAGGTATTCCAGATTGAAACTGAATTTTTCTTTGTGGTTTCCAATGTTTTAAATCTCTACCTTGTTTATATTTGTATTTTAATGGGATTTCTGTATTTAATGCTACTACTCAACTATGGAGTGAATAAAATTATGGTCTAATCCAATAACCATATCATCTTGGTGTAACTATAGACCTCCAGTTCTGGAGACCTCAGGTTTTCATGGACAAAATGAAGCATAAACTGAATAATTTTTAAGGCTTCCTCCATTTCTCATATTCTAACTTCTGTGACTGATCCACAAGCGTTTGCATAGTTCCTGCACCCCACAAAGGCTCTTTGCTGTTGGTTCAAGTGGATCTGACAGCCAGCCTCTGTTACTCTGCCCTCAAACCATGCTCCCTAGTAAGAGGCAGTGTCACCCTGGGAGAAGGCACCCCTTCACTGGTCCCTACGTGGCGTTCACTCTTAAAGTTATACGTGACAGGACTGCATGTGCATAAGGGAACATTTTTTTCAGATTTTCATGAAGTCAGCATATATTACAGGCTGGCTGTAGACCTGACAATATAAGATTAATCTTCACCATCATCAAATTCATGAACTCATATTTACCTCTGGGATTTCTTCACTTAGTCCAAGTCTTGGTTTACCTGGACCCCATCCTGGTCCTTTAAATATGACAGAAAACTTATTGAAGAATCCAGGTGTGGCCCAGAATGTAGTCCAAATGTAAACTAAATAGTGGAACTAGAAGAATAAATATATAGTTTATTTAAAATATGAAAAATCCATAACCAAAAAGATTAAATACAGTAAATTATAAATTTTATTTTATTTATAATTTATTTTATTTTATTATTTAATGTAAGTTACATATTAATCTTTAATAAATAGGTTATGTATAATTTGATAATGTTTATTAATATGCAATTGATTTCAAATTGAAATTCATTCTATGCATTTTGCATACCTTTAAGCTTAAATGTGTTCTTACCGGTATTTCTGAAGCTTCAAAAAATTGTACATTTGAAATTTAAAAACAGGACAACTGATTAGAAAGTCAGCAAAGAAGAAAAAAACGTGTTCAGAGACATTGCTTCCAATGTCTTTAACTAGCAGGCTGTGCACTCAACAGCCATGTAATGACATCTTTTCTAGACTTGCTAAATGTTTATTAAAGTTGAACATGGAATCATACAGATATTAGATATTGGTTACATATTTTAAAAATAATCTTTTATTTATTGTGTTGAGTTATAGAGAAACACATCATATTAAGAAAAAATGTTCAAAGTCATTTCTGACAGTCGACTTCTGAGTAATAAACAGACCATATTCTGTAATAAGAAAAGGAACAGTTTGCTGAGTCAAAAAGTTTACCTTGAGGCTGACAGTAGGAATCCACATTCTTTAAAAACATACACTTGATATATGTGAAGTTAAAAGTATACCCACATATGACAGGTACTCAATAAATATCAGGACCATTAGCTATATATACCATACATCTGATAGTAATGTGCCAGAGGACTGAAATTAGTCCTAGATATGGGCATCAGCTGTAGACTCTAGAAATGAGTTCTACTATAGGTGTAGTGATAAATTAATGTAGAAAGAAGTCTTAGCTCTGTCAGACCTTGTGGTCTCATTGGTATTTTCACTGTCTCTTGCAGAATTTTAACTGCTGGCATTATAAAAATGGTTTTTAAAATTACTTGAACTATTACAACAAGGAATCCAAAGCCATTAAAGAACAAGGTAGGATTCAATTGAGTAGACTCAGGTTTGCATCTGACAAGCTGTGTGTGGTTGGATGAATTATTTAAAATCTGGGAACCTCAGTTTCATCCATAAAAAAAATTGAGGTTAGAAAGAAGCACTACCTTGTAAGGTTTTAGAAATGGTTACAAATTAAATTAAATATTTGGGCTGTTAGCACTGCCCTGCAGATAGTAAAAGCTCAATAAATGTTCACTTATTCTGTTATTTTAACTTTCTTGAAAACTTTGAAGAAGTAGGTTTAAAAAGCAGACCCAACATGAACGTGGGCTTTCCTCCTTTTCTGAATGCTGTGTACCCAGTCCCCTGGACAGAGCTGTCACTGACTGACCTCTTCAGTTTTTCAAGCATTCTTATCTTTTTCTCATTTACTAGTCTCAACCCCCAGGAGTCTTATTGGTGGTCTGCCGCTGATGGATCAGAGCTTCACAGACATTCCTCATTTCTCTAGTGCCAACCACTGAGATCAGTGAACAACCAATACCACATGTCGAACAGAAAACTGGTCCCGGGCAACAAGGCTTAGCAGGTGAGGTAATATGCAGACATAACCAACCTGTAATAGCTCCTGACACCTCAGTCCAAGAAGAGGAGGGCAAAGGCCTCATGTTGAGTTTCTAACCAGAGTCATGCAGCCTTGAAGCAAATATTTTTCTTACTCTGGGATCAGCCTTAATTATACATTTCACTACTGCTCCTTCTGAATACATGAATACATTTCAGGTCTATTCTGAGAAAGGATATGTTTGCTTGAAGAGCTATTTTTTTGAACTCTAGGTAGTAGACACATTTTAAAATTCTTATACGAGTTTTTTTCAAATGTATTTTGCTGAATTTGATTCAAGCCTTCGAGTGGCAGAGTTATTTCCAAATTATTTTACAGTTAAAAATATATTTTTTCTGGTTAATAGTATGTATTTCTGCCTTTCAACAACTAATTGTTATTTTAAATATAAAATTTGTAAAAGTGATGTAATCAATTCAGAAAGAATAAAATCAAGTACATTACCTGTACCTTGAATGGTTCAAATGTATTAATGGGATGTGTTAGACCATATACAACTTTTTCATTTTCTGCCTCAAATGTTCCTGGAAGATAAACAATAATGATATGAACTTTGACTTTCTATGAATTAAGGAGCTAATTTGATTTTTAAATTCTCATACTTTGTACTTACCAAAAAGTCTATCCCATATAATAAGAGTACCAGCACAATTTTTGTCTATGCAATAACGGTTTCTGCCTATGAGACAAAATATTAAACATTTTTGAAAAACAAAGTCATGCTTTTTGAAACAATGATTTTCCCCAAAATATATTTTCACTAACATCACTAGACTTCATCTGCTACTAAACTGAGTTTTCATTTTATTTTCCAACTGATTTTACTAAAAAGAGCAAAGATTTCCTTAGTCATTTATATTTAGAATTATCCCAGAAATTAAAAAAAAAGCACCATTGCTCACAATTTTCCTGTTCTTTAAAAATCTGGGATAATGCTAAGTAATTTCTTTAAGACTATCAAAGAGTAACAATTAAAAGTTAAATGGTCCAGAACAAAAGGCAATAGGAAATAAGATAAAGAAAATACTTTTTTCTTTAACATTTTGATGTGAACTTTACCCCTTTTCATTGCATCTTTTCCAGGAAGAAAATTTTCCACTTAGAGTAAGACAGTACTATTATTTTAATAATAAAAGACATAAGTAAAAATTAAATTACTTTTCATTATATTAACTCATAACATATTGATATTTTTCATGCCTCAAAGAACTTAAATAATCATTTAAATAGTTAGGTATAGTTTCTTTAATGGTTTTTTTTCCTTTTTAAATTTTTTTCTTTTGTTTCTTTTTAAAAATATTTTTAATGGGGTAGGTAATTTTAGGTTTATTTATTTTTATAAACAGAGGTACTGGGAAATGAAAGGCATAGTTTCTTAATTTAAAAAAGCTTAAATATACACTATCATACCCGTGTGATTATTAATCAAAGGAAAAAGAATATTGTTCCATAAACCACTGCTGTGATAAATTCAACTGTCTTCATGTGTCCTCATTTCTTTACACACCTCCCATATATGCAAATGTACATTTGAAAGTGAAGACACGAGGAAAAATCTCTCCCAGTGCAAAAGCAGAGTGGGGCTGGCTACACAGATCCACTACCCATTGCCATCCGTGGGCTGAACAGTAGCTCCCAGTTGGGTAGAGGAGCACTGTGCCCCTAGGGGATGCTTGGCAATGTCTGAAGACACTGTTAGTAGTCACAACTGGGAGGGGATATTATTGGCATCTAGTATGTAAAGACCAACATCCTATAATACACAGGGCAGCCAGCCCCCTACTCTGCTCCCAGATGAACTGTCTGGTCCAAAATGTTAGCAGTTCAGAGGTTATAAAATTCTGAAATAAAGCAACATGCCTGGAAAGGTGCTCTGAGGCCAAACAGGAAACTAGCAACTATTTCTTCTTCAGTGTAGATGTGTTTTCTTCACTCCTTAAGTTTCCTTTTAAATGGAGGGAAGCCCAAGAGCATAACGCTGTTGGCCTCTCTATGGCCCCTCACTAACGATTCCCTGGGGATGGGGAATGACTGTGGAGTTTGGAAGAGGAAACTGACCATGTACAGCCTGATTCCACCCTCTCCCCTCCCGGGGGAGCCTGTGCTCCTGCTCTGCTCCCTGGCTGGGGAAAGGGACCTGCCTGCCTGGGAAAGGCAGGCTTGCCGTACTCCAGCACTGCCTGTGATGCCTGGAAACTTGTCAAAACACAGCCATGATATTCATCATTTTATTACTAGCTTCCTTCTTTCAACATTAAGCTTGTGAGATTTATTCCTGCCATTGTCTGTCGTAACACTTCGGGCATTTGCACTTCTATGCAGTTCTCCATTACATGCGCGCATCTGTTCTACTGCTGATAAACACTGGGTTACATCTCTTGTTCTCCCTGTTACAAATAATACCAGTAGCACGTTCTTGTTCAGGTCTTTGCGTGCACAGGTGTAAACATTTCTGTTATTTCTTAAGCTGCTGATGGTAAACCTTAGACACTGGCCACATGGGATTTATTTTCTAAGTCAAGCAAATGCAGCGTAGGTTGAGTTTGTTCACAGAACTGAGGCAGGAAAGTGAAGTCCTGTTTCTTAGGCTTTCCTCAGATACCAACAGCTTTTAAGACCAAGATTCCTAGGGTGGTTGCCCTAGGTTGGTAAACCCTTTTCTTCTACTACAACTGAGATCTAGGCAATGAGGAAAATCCAAACGCCGTCTATGGAAAGGTTTGTGTGTCTCTGTGCGTGTGTTTTCTGCTCCAGTCCTTGCTTTGGCGATAAAGTGTATCCAGGTACAAAAGAAGAAACAAACACCTGTTTGCACAGTGTGTGGTGACTATGTCAAGTAACTGTGATGAAATGATACAAAATAATAATACCGGTTTTCAAGAAATGAAGAAGGAAAGAAAGATCAAATTTCCTCACCGAGATGAACTCTGTGGCGGCTAGGAGTATTAAGAATCAGTTCCAAAGGACCCAGGTTATTGATAACCTGTTTAAAAGAAAAGGAACCTAGTTATTATTAAGTTAATAATAATGTAATATTTAAGGACTCATTAAAATAAGAAATATTTTCAGGGTTGGCATCAGAGTTTATCGGAAGAAGTTTATCTCCTGGTGTTCATACAAGGACAAGAAGCAGCTCATCTCGCTAGTCTAAGCGACAGTATAATACAGCAGTGAAGTCAAGAGCTAGACTGCCTCCGTTCAGCTCCTGAATCCTTCACTTATCATTATGTGGTACTGGGGAAATAAGCTTTTTATAACTCAGTTTCCTCATCTTTCAAATGGAAATGGTATCTATACAATAGTGTTCTGAGGATTACAGGTGTTACTGCATTTAGATGCTACTACTATCAAGGGATACTATTTTCAGGTTTCCTGTCATCAGGTTTCACGAGGATTTATGTTAAGAGTATAACTCTAGGAGGGAAACCCAGTATTATTTTCATTTTCTGGGGTTGATTTCACCCAATAATCGGTCATGGAGCAACTTACTATGACAGGCGTTATCAGTCAAGTACACTCCTAAATGCTCTCTTACTTTTAGATGCCCCACCTTCCAGTCCATTCCTGAGGTGCAATTCAAAGTCAAATATGTAACGGGGCCTTTTTTTGGAAATAAAGACCCTTTAAAATCTGGCCTATAATTCTCTAATGCTCGCTCTCAACATTTTTTAGTAAGAATCTCCTTTGCCAGAGTCTATAAATTCTACGGAGTGTAGGAACCAGGTATGTGTCATAAAAAAGAACAGCAGGCCATATGTCAGACATTTGTTACACTATATAATTAATACTGGACAATGTGGGAACTCTTTTAATCTCAATTACATTATTCTTTCTTCCATCAACCATGGCAGATAACAGAATCTTTTATTTTTCTTTAATCACAATCTAATGGATTTGTTGGAGCCTACTAATGACAAAATCAGTACATTGTCATGGAATTTTAAGTAATTACTCACCTCTAAAGTTAACTTCCATTTAAAGGATATATAAGGAATATAGTAATAAGTTCAATGCTTTTTAAGGGGAAAGAAGAGTCCCTGACCATCATGATACTGACATGAATTTTGCAACAAGTCAGTGGTATGAGAAAAAAATAGGGAGATGGGTCTCCTTCCGATGTAAAGATATTTACAATACATAACAACCAATGTACTGTGGGGATCTTGTTTAGATGCTGATTTCATCAAACCAAACATAAAAGACATTTTATAGGCAATGAGGGAAAATTGATCATAAACTAGGTATGACATGATAAAAAATACTGTGTTATTGAGCATTATAATGGCATTGTCATTGCATAAGAAAATGTAATTTTTTTTAAGAATCGTAGAACAGAAGTATACATGACATGAGATCTAGGTTTTGCTACATAACGTTTGGCAATGAAAGAAAAACAGGAAAACTAATAAAAATGAATCAAAATTATAATCATTTTTAAGTTGAAGTGATGGGGATATGTACATTCATTCTGTTAGTCTCTCTACTTTTCTGAATGTTTAAAATTTTTAAGATCAATTTTAAGTAAAAGAAATTACTACTCTAGTAATATACAGGAATGCTCAGTTAGCCAATTGAAAATATTAATAGATCCCTGCAGTCTCAAACATACTTCTAGATTGTAACTCTTTATATAGCAGGGTTTAATAATTTTTTGGCAACTTCTGACATTAAAACACCCAATTTACAATTGCTCTGCAAATGTGGACAGCCACAGTAGCCACACAGTCCTCAGCTTGTGCGGTCCTGCACGTTCCTGAAGTCGAAGCTGCAGCAGTGTTCCCAAGTAACAACGCTGCATCTCTCCATCAGGTAGGTACCACCAGTATCTCCTTATTAGACCCATTGTTTAACACACCTATAACAGTACGTGCCTCCTACCCTGCTGCCCAGCTTTTAAGAGGTTGTTGGTTTCCATGATGGAACAGTCATGCAAAGGATGCAAATGTTTGCATGCAAAGGATGTGTTATATTACGTGCTGTATATTGATTTAGGCTTCTCTCTCTCTCTTTTCTTGTCTCTCTCTCATACTGTAGAGTTTTATCACCATTTTTAAAGTTACTTCCATGAAAAGTGTATCATGAGCTCCAAACAAGAGACTTTTTGGTTGACTCATTGAACAGAACTCATTTATACACAGACAACCATCTATATTTTTTTAATTTCAGGAGTTCAAAATACTGTGACTATATACGCAAATACAGCATTAATGACCAGGAACTGGGAAGGGAGTAAGTAGAAATAACCCTGTATTTTATTGGACTACATTGCTTTGTACTTAGTGGGAAAATATTTGTTGAGGAGAAGAATGGTGATGGATAGAGAATGAGAAAGTAAGGTTTCTCGGCAGTCAGGACATTGAAATCTGATTCTCTGCTCAGGCTTTGTATCTCTGGCAGAGAACCAGATGGGAAAGGAGAAAACCATTTTACCCGTTTGTCTCTTTGGTGGCTGACATATGTTACAAAAACAGACAACAAAAGCGAGTGGAAGAGACGACACTAACCAGCTTCTGCTACCCAGATGCATTTCTGATCCTTGGTTCTGGCGTGTGTGTAGCCAGATTTAAAGCCACACAAATGGTGAGTGAATTCAGATGACTGGAGCCCTGGCTGAGTGCATTATTATTTTTTTAATGTCAAGCACTTTTCCGCAAAGAAAATCTTTTGCTTCTGCAGGCTAAAGCATGTTGATATCAATATTGAAAGTTCCTTTTTTTTTTTTCTTCAGTAAAATGCCAAGTACAACACAGGCAACCACAATTAAATTTCCTGGTGGTGCCTATGAGTACCTTGGAGCTGGGGAAGACCACCTTGGTGTGGGAGATGATTCATCATTCAGACAGCCCAGTCAGAACCTCTCTTATAGCAAACCCTTCTGATTCAAAGTCATGGAGAAGTCATAATAATTAATAAGGGCTGAGCGTAATGACTGAATTATCGTCTACTTTTGCAAATTCAGTCTTGGAGCAATTCAACCACATCTAGCTTTGAATCACTTCCCGAAAAAATGTTATTGTGGAAATAACTGCAGCTATTCTCATGTTTATTTGCCTTGTTTTTTAAAGATTTAGATGAGTTAATTTCAATTATGAAATTTTAGAATGTATAGAGGACTTAACGATAATATAACACAGTACTCTGTTATACAAAAGCATGAGACTAAAGCTCAGAGAAGTTAATTACTAGTCCAAGTTTAAACATCTTGGAAGAAGCCCTAAAGCCTTCTCAGTGTCAGCTCAGGAATCCTTCTTTCTTCTTCTTTTTTTTTTTTAATCATGTTGCTTTTAAGAGATACAGCACTTTTTCCATCCAATAAAAGTAATTTTTTAAGAACTTGAATGGAATATGATAACAATGCTTTTGACTACATTGCAGTCAAAATGAATCCAGGTATTTAGAAAGAGTTCAGGGATTTCAGCTTCCAAACTACCGCTCATCTTGTTACAGGCATTTCTGGGGCGTCTTAGGTCTCTGAAGCAACGGTCTCTGTCTCGTAGCCTGTAGTTTCCTGTCAGGGCTTTATAACCTGAGGACCATGGATGGAAGGGCGCCGAAGGGCTTCAGCAGGTTGAGGACCCCCTGAAGTGTCACATCAAGTTTTATGAATATTTCCCTATAGGTATTTTTGGGGGGGAACCACCATTTTCACAGTATAGTTAAAGGGATCCGAAAGTCCCCAGAGATTAAGAATCAATGTCCTAAAGAGGGCTTTAGATTATTCCCTTTGCCTTTCCTACTTATATTGTGTTTTTAGTTCCTACATTATTAAAACTCAGGTGCTACTTTCTCACCC